AAGGATGAGGAAGTAAACGGGGCAGAGTTGAAGCAATGGAGAACTATCAAATATCAGTATGAAAATCATCAGACATGACTGACATCACTATGAGGAAGAGAGTTTTATGGATGTCAACTTCTGTATTGAGATAGTGTATTGACAAGTGGTCCAGGAAAGGACCACTTGTTTGAATGTATTGAACGTAAACAAATAGAATCTCAGATTTCACACTGCGTATCCGTTCGCCTACTTTTGTTGCATACACTTGCTCATTAGTTTTAGACCATGCATGGTAAAGGTATCGTAGCAAGCGATAGTTAAATAAAATAGGTGTATTCCAATGATTTCCGAGATTCATCACAACATATTATAGTTTCTGAAAGCGTCACGCCATGACTGACACAAACTCACGCATCCCGACGATGGTATTTCTCCTCATTTCTAACTATTTTCCTTGGTCACAATGAAAAACAAAAAGAAAATAACAACCAGCCGATTGTCAGAATGTTTCCGGACTACTTACTTGTCACATTTATGCATATGTACGTTGCTTGAAACAACGAAAGTTTCCGTCGAAAAATCGGGCATACCCGTGTCAGTGAACACGCCATTTTGAAAATGTCGCTTCCCGATACTGATGTCATTCATACGTCATTGTTATATATTGTTGTATATATTTGGTATTTTCATTGAGGTGAGGTTATGAATGAAAATACACACGATCAATCTGTCCTGCTGCTTACATTTTCAGTTCTTATGCTTCTTTCGTATTTTCACAAACTTTTTTCACGTGATTAATTTCAGTATTATTATCTTTTGATTTGGGACTAGACAGGAGACCAGTCTAAAATCAAGTGGAACCAATTATGTCATAATCAAAGGGCGGTAACTCAGGCTAGTTTAGCTCGACAAACAAAGGCCCCGTAATGGCATAACATTTCAGCACTTATTTTGAGGGTTATACTTTCATCGTAAGAAAAATGAGTGTGTATTTTCAAACATTGATGTTAACTAATTATAAAATTGCGGTTTGTTTCACATAAGAATAAATGTGACTTTTCGTGTACACTTCCCCTTTAAATGAGTTTTGTTTTACGCCGCACTCAGCAATATTCCAGCTATATGGCGGTCCTACTGGTTAAAATGTTGGCTTGTCAAGCCAAAGACCCAGGTTTGATTCCCCACATGGGTACAATGAAGTCAAGGCTCTAACACGGCAGCCAACTAAGGGCAGCTAACTTAAATGCCAAGGCTCGATGCGCATCTAAACAGAATAAGCGCCTGTCTTGGAGAAATTATGTTTCCAAAATAAATTCACGCACACCACTTTCAAAGGTGTGGAAATGGCACAAAGAATAAAGGGCAAAATTCAAAATCTACCATTCACCATTTGAAGGACGCTGATAATATATTAACTGATAGAGCTGACATTGCCAACAAACTTGGTGACACTCTCGCTAACGCTAAGCATTCGCCTTCATCCAAATACAGTCAAATCCCGATGAGTCGAATTGCTGGGGACCAAGTAATACATTCGACTTATCGATGTATTCAAGACATAGGTATGTCTATGAGGGTAGAAAAAAAGGTGATCCCGTCCTAATTCCTCCACTTAAGCATTTGTTTACCTAATGATTTCCCTATCACTAATAGGGGCACCTTATCAGTTCCAGTCTGATTAGCACAGACAGTGATTTCCGTAAAATCACTAATCTACCTTTTGAACTCACCCGTCACGGAAAGGCGTGAGCCGCGCTGGTTTGTTAATTGGATCAGTTTGCTAGACCAATCAACTTCTCATTGACTGACTTCGGCTTATGTATACAAGATTGCTGTTGTTTGAATCTCATGGGACCAAATTTCCTTCTCGAGTCATCGTGTGTATTTATGAGACGAATTCGTGTAACCGGTATTCAAATGATGACAACTATATCAGGAATGGTCGGGACCGACAGGTACTTCGAGTTATGCATAATATTCAAGACACCGGCTCATCGGGATTTAACTGTATGTCCCTGAGCTTCAGAAACATCAGAAACAACAAGTAGTTCCCAACTTCTAAAAACTTTTGTGATGTACTTTCTGTAAAAATTACTATTTAATAAAGTAAACTAAATCAGTCATGATATTTTCGCCATATAATATTTACTAATACTATGACATACCAAGAAATATTTAATCAAGGCCCTTCACTTTCTCCACAAAAGATGCATACACTGGTGCTGCCATTTTATCGCATGTGTGAATGCACCTACCCAACACAGGAAAATAACCTGTACCCATCTGTGCATGCATATAGTCCCATTTTTAGGACGCACATTTGCAGTGTAAAGAAAGTATGGAAAATATTATTTACTGGTAAAATGACAGCCCATTCCTTTCATTGCTTGCCAAAAGAAACTGGCTCACAAAATTTGATGAAAATCTAAGACCCTATGCATATATGGGTTACAACTTAAACCTGCTAGTTATCTTTCTTTCTTCTTAAAGGAAGGTAATCTACAGCAGCGTCCAGAAGGAAGTAGTTCAAAATGGTGAGATCAAATATGTCAACTATCAAATCTAATTTTAGCTGCCTTTTTGACTATACTCGAAATACACTCCAGAACTTTTGCAAGCAGTATTAACAATATTGAAAAGTCTGTTTTTGTTGCGATGAGACAGATCCCCATACAACATAGAAAATTGTAGGTCAACACACTTTGAATAAAGGTTTGATAAAAAACTGTCATTACGGTTTTGTCAATGCCTTGACGATAATAATGTTCAGAATCAGAAATTAGGCCAGTAACAGTGGCGTCATCTGCAAATTTCACAGTAAAGAAGTCATATATTGACAAGTAACAGTCATTGGTATACAAAACGAAGAGTACGGATGAAGGAACACAGCCATGTGGATCTCCAGTAGAGGTTAAGAGAAAAGAAGATTGATAGCCATTGACACTGGCATACTGAGTTTTATGTACCCTGAATTCTTTAATCCATCTGATATTTTTTTATTAACACCTAGATTAAATAGTTTACTCCTCACACGGTGTGGCTGTATGGTATTAGTTGTTACAAGTCTGCAGATGAGAGTAAATATTATACATCGTTTGAGATTTCACTTCTTAAAATGATTAGGTAACTATCTTGACAATTGATCGTTTGCTTGAAAGGTATGAATTTCGAGTACTCGGGTCCGAGTCGAGTCTCACCCCTCGAGTACTCGAGTCCCAAAAAATGGACTCATTGAAGCCCTACATAATGATAATCTCATTAATTCTTTAAAAGACCTTAGCCCATTTTTAAAAATGGCAGTGCCCTGTCGCGAACATCCGCCAGTCTGAGAATAAATGCTGTTTAGGTTTGTTTTCACCGAGTTACAAAATCAAAACTACTTTCTACTAGTAGTAAAATATGTATTTGATTGATGGCCAATTAGATTTTGCATGACATAGCTTATAACATAACAATTTCTCTCGTGGAAGCGAGGTGGGTGTCAATATAACACTACTTACAATATTATTGTCACTTCAACCACAACCTCTCTTCCGAGGAAGAAATCGTTATGTTACAAGTTGTGTCATGGAAAATCTTTTTGGTCATCAATCATATACATATTTTACTACAACTAGTAAGTAGTTTTGATTCTTTAACTTCTGTGAAGCGATCTGAACACAAGTAAGATATCGTTCCAGGCTTCCACAACGCTTGCTTCGCACTCACAAACATAACCCATTTAGCACGAACTGCGGGGTCCGGTAGAAATCAAGAAATCAGCAAAATGACGAGCTTGTTACACACTTTATATACAACTAACTGAAAATCCTTCCTCACATACGTCTCTTCCGGTTCACTGCAGTGCTCTGGCGACAGAGTTACGTAACCTCTCTGTGGTTTCGTTGGCGGGCGAGAGTGAAGCTGGCAACATTTTGGCAACTTTTAATTGCTCTGTATTAATTAACCACAATTTTTTAAGAACAAATTTGGTGTTCCGCTTAAGACTAACCACACATCTTTCATATGTAATAGTTAAAAGAGTACAAAAAACAAAAGTTTATTTGTTCTTTAAAAACTATTTCTTATACCTTCATCTCTATAAAGATGAAACAAAATCTCAATATCTGACAGGATGAAATAAATAACTACTGTGGGGATGACACTTATTTACTCGACCAGACATTCTTTATTTTTGTCTGTACCATTGCACTTACATATTGAAGAGCATAAATATATGTGTTGCTGCCTATAATAGCATACTAAGGCAAGTGGCATAGTACTAATCCACTGAGAAACCATGCCACTGATAAAGAGATTTTGTAATTTTATGCACTGCATTCCAAACAACAACTGAGACACCATGTACTGACTACAGTCCTTGTTTATTCACTATACATGCTATATGGGCAGTGTTCACGAATGGTGTTTCCAAGTAACAGGACATTGTGTCCTGTAAGTTTCAGATGTCTGTCTGACCCACTGAAAATTCACAGGACCCATTGAATAAAATTAAACACACATTTCAGATTTAACATTTCTTATAATTGGCATTGAAATTATTAACAAACATAAGATTTATAAACAGCAAACAAGTGTCACATGTCACATATAACAACTTCAGTCAAAGTCATTGTGAAATATACAGTCAGACACTGGGGCTGGCGGGTTGTAGAATTCTATCGGACCCGTTGGCGAATCTGCCTGATTTGTCAGAGGGTCAAACGCCATTCGTGAACACTGTATGGGTAGCTTTGTAACCACACATACCACTGTTCAGATCTTTTAGCATGATCAGGCGGGGGATGAAACCCCTGACCTTCCACTCTCCTGACCTTCGCTGTTACAAACAGACCAGGAGGAAGTCAATGTGGGAAGTGATACCAACAAAACATTTCTGATAAGAGATTTTGTAACTTTATGCACTGCATTCCAAACAACAACATCGATTCGACACGAACTGATAGGAGACATTTTCAGATGGGAGACATTGTAATTCTGGTGAAGTCGTATGATCACACACTACATTCCATACAAACCTTTTTCTGATACCACGCCACAGCATCCTGTATCCTATCCATCCCCAAGCTTGAGAGTGAGAGGGAGAGGGATGGGGCCTCACCCTCCTGGGATCCACAGTCAGCAAGAAACAGGCTTGGATTCAGCCATGATGCAGACTCACAATTACTATGACAACTGCTGCTGAAATCAGACATAGGCATACTATGAGTTGTCGTGGATGTGCTGTATTTAACAATCAGAAAATAGATCAGGACTAGACATTAGTATTACTCATAACAAATGATACATCTGTATATGAGCAGCCCTGCATTCATGCATGTCTGCCAGCATGAGACTACCAAACTGGCTGAGTGAAAACCACTAACTTGTAGCATTTGAGGGCAATAGTTCTAGGCCCCTTCCACTTTCATAGCAGGTCATTACGTTAAGAGTGAGTGAGTATGGATTTACGCTGCTTTTAGCAATATACCAGCAATATCATGACCAGGGACACCAGAAATAGGCTTCACACATTGTACCCACATGGGGAATCGAACCAGGGTCTTCGGTGACAAGCCAATGGTTTAACCACTACCCCACCACCTCCATAACGTTAAGAATGCTTTGTGGATAGGGATTGTAGACCACTCCTCCACACGTCAGTTTTACGAAAAAATGGAATGGAATAATACTGAGAAGTAAACATTGCGAACATGTTTTGCTCAAGGACCAATAAAAAATCTGAGGACTTGGACAAAAAGGCTTACACTAGTCCCCCCAAAAAACAGACTTTCTAAGGCCATGTATTAGGTAATGGTAAGGATAATGACTGCGTTGTTCAGTTAAGGTGAACCTTTGCTTTGAGTCAGGATAATTTATGCTTTTATAGTCTCTTGGCATGTGATTAGACGAGTTGAAAACTTTCGTTATTTTATCTCAAATAAAGCTTGAAATTGTTTTGGTCAAAAGAACTGAAAAGAACCTATTTCCAGGCATAACAGTAACAAAGTGTTGGCATTTTACGTTCCCAGCAACATATGTTCATTTTTAAACACAACCAAATAGATTGGGTGGTCAGACCATGTGATTTGGTTGATGGTATGTCATGCACTATATCATCCACAACAACATTCTCTGCACTGCATGTTCCAGTTCATCACAGGCGGCAGTGATGTAGCAGCGGTAGCAGTATTATTGCTCTTTGCTGTTTGGGTCATACATTATGTATGTTTCTGCAACTTGACGTATCATTTTCATAGGTAATGGGTTGTTTCTCCTGTGAAGTATGACTTGTACTAATTTGAACATGCTGATGTTATGCTCTGTTAAGTCTTTGTCAGGGCATGACAAATGTTGATGGACAAATGTTAATGGTCTGTTGTATCCAATAGGTCACAAGCCTCTTCAAGAGAACTCTATTTACTTCACTCCAAAACAAATCAACATATTTTACATAATGTGTGAGTGGTGACACATGTATGCTTGCAAAAACACCATTTTGAACATAACTTAGATGTGGCCCATGATTAAAGACTTACTCTGTGTTTAAAACTTAAACTTATATTTCATCGCAATAATTCATGTATGATATTTTAAATCAGAGATAATGTTCATACATGTTAATAATTGTATCCTATCATGATATTTCCCATTATCAATCTATTCAGCCTACAACAGAAGAGTCATTTGATCACAGTACACACCATTTTGAAATGACAAATATTGCAAGAGTGAGTGAATTCAGTTTTATGCTGCTTTCAGCATTATTCAAGCAATATCACAGCGGGGTACTCTAGAAATGGGCTCACACATTGTAACCATGTGGGGAATTGAACCAGGGCCTTTGTCATGACGAGCGAACACTTTAACCACTAGTCTACCCCATCGCCCCAATATTGCAAGAGTGACAGTGCAGGTTATCTTACTAAACATTCATGTTCAATTGGTATGCCTGACTTGCCTGATCCCTGAAAGCAAAGCACTGTGGAAATAGATCAATTAGATGCCTCCTGGCAAGTATGAAAATCAGCAGTGTAAACCTTGAACCTTAGAAGATATATCACATGCATTAGTTCAAATGTCTGGACCGTAAAAGCAAAAACAACTGAATACATTCCCATGATCATAAACTGTAAATAAAACAAGAATGTAATACCAAATATTTGTAAAAGATTAATTTATACACCGGGGTGAAATGACACAGCTATGTTGCAATATGTTATAATTATGCATCATGATAGATAAGTCATGGCCTGACTTGTATCGCAACTGTTTAGATCAAACTTCAAGGAAACTTCTAGGCTATGTATATACTTCAGAACAAGTTACAAAGGGAAGGTTTATAGTTGACTGATATTCGCCACGGCTTTGTTTCAATTAATTTTTTACAATTAATTTTTTAAGATGTCACTGACAAAACTGCTGGAGGGTGGGGGTTTCATGTGACTAAAGTACTGTCGGAAATGCTAGAAAAATGCTTTTTGACATTTATTTAAAATTCATAGGTATTACAGTTACTTAAATAACAAATAACACTTCAAGAAACATCTACCTAATGTAGACCGAGGGAATAAATTTTGAGACAAGCTCTAAAATGTGATTTTACTGATGAAAATACCCAAAACTTAGAAAAATAAGGGGTAGTGGGACGTTATTTGATACAAACATTAACTGCCTGTGTTACGTCATCAGCATGCACGGTATCGACAGGTGAAATTGACACCTGAGCACACTTTCGGTAGGGGTCATCTCAATAGATGTTTTTCTGCAAAATGTTGAATATGTGTAATGCATTATAGTATCACATTATCGGTTATGTAAGGGGTCATTTGTGTATGTGTATTTGTTTTGAATTAAACATACTGAATTACTGTACATTGGAAAGAATCCTATCACTTGTGTTATCTTATCGATTGATTGTAGAAATGTGCAACGTTTTAATAAATGTTTTGCATGTCAACAGTATATTTCATTGCAAAAATATGGATGTAATTCGGTCAGTTTAATCTAGTTGTGAACATTGGCCAACGATTTAACGAAGTCACTGGTGTAGCTTCTTTAGAATATATATATTTTTCTTCTCATAAAGTTTGTAGACCGCCCGTCTAAGCACTCCCTTGTCAAAGTTGTCAAGGATGGTTTTACGTCCCCGGTTTTGCATTTGAGGCGGTCCCTCTCTTGTCCGATTTGTTTACAATATTGTAAACTTGTTGGTAAGACATGCCAACAGCTCTACAAGTTCTGTAATAAACCCTTTCTAAACTAATGAAAGGTTTACCTCTGTCTTTTTTAAGCAGAAAAACCTATAAACCTTTGCAACAATAGACTGCAAATCGTTGGCCACAGTGGACGCTGTGATAAAGATGTGCATGCATGACGGGAAACTTATTTATCAAGACTTAACATTTATATTAATATTTCTTCAATAAAGAAACGATAATTAAGTAAAGTAACACAAACACTCAACATTTATTTGTTTAGGAAAAACATTAATTCATATTTTTACACCACCTGTATTATTAGCATAAATGTAAAGACTATTTCAGATTTCTGTTGTTGAACTCTGAAAAAAATCTTAAGTTGCTGTTTTGGTACCAAATTCTCTCCTGTAAACTGCCCTTTAAATGCATGGGAATGTTAAATCGGTTGAAATAAAAATTAGGTAGACAATAGACGAGTTGATATATTGACAACATAGTACATGTATCACCTTTATAAAGATATTAAGGCTAAAAAGCATTTTTCTAGCATTTCCGACAGTACTATAGTAGCAAGTATCTCTTGTAACGATACATAAATGAACATATCGTGCACCGTTGCATGAAAACACAAGATACACTAGTCCACAGGTGAATCGGTTCAACTGTAAAACAAATGTATTTGACCATATAGCAACAGCTGTTCAGATAATTGTAGGATATCAGAGCTTGACATCCACCCAAATTCCAGAACAAGACCACAGGACCAGTAACTTTTAAAAATCACTGGTCCTTACAGATTCTTATTAGTCCTGCTAAGGGACGCAAAGTTGCACTGGTCCTGTCAACATTTATCTAGACACGGACCAGTGGGATAGCGTGAATGCAGCAGAACCCCGGGATATGCAGCCTTTTTAATTGTAGATGATCTTTTGGAACTCTGAAACAAGGGGGCGTATACAATGTCCACAACAATAAACTCGTGATAATAGTATAGACTTCATTACGTACATATCAGGAAGGGTCGCTGAAGCTCGTTTTCGAGATACAGAAATCAGATACACTGGCCTGAATGCTTGTCTCTCAAACTAATAACTTAGAAGCCTCAATGCAGAAGGTCACATTACAAGTCCATCTGACTCTGTGTCCACAGACCACCACAAAGACGGTATGGTAATGAAGAAGATCTGATTTTTTAAACAGAATGATAATAGAATGGTGAACAGCATAAAAAATATTTATCTTTCTTGGCTCAAAATATAAATATCAGCCAAAGGATCTGCTCCCCATACATTTCATGTCAATTACTGATTTGCCAAAGCTTAATAGTGTGACAGTACGATTTTGAAAGGAAATAGAAATTTAGAAAAAGCAACTGTTCGTTTAAGTTTGTTTCTGATACTCAAATTTCTACAACAGCAATTAGCACCAAACGGGCGAAAGCAGGAAGGAACAAACACAGCATTATATCAGATATAGCTATTTTATGGTTGCACGACTACATGTTTTCAAAATCAAAACAATGTCACATGCTGAAAACTCAAAACATCTGTGGACACTCAAAGCCAATGTGACCTATTGACAATGCACAAGATCATATTCGAAAAGAACTCAAAACCCACTTTACTAACTGACACTAGAAATTCAATCGTCATTATGTTAACCAACACACGTATTTACCTTATGTTTTTCATACACGTTCCTGTGATTTTCTGGATGATAACAATACACAGTAACACCTGTCAAACTGAAAGGGTAAAAATTTTCCTATCTCCGTGTATTGAAGAGTACCAAAACTGTCATACTATTCTCCTAACCACTCTTGGAATGAACTAATGCCGTTAACGGACCTCTGATAGACAGTTACGAAATGGGTTACGCCCTGTCACGTGTTTATACATGTTGTTATAATCAATATGTATATGGCCATTTATCTTGTAAATGTATCATCGACACGCTATTGAGGAGATATTTTGGGGAATTCGATCATGAGCAACAACCACAATGTAAAACATAAGACCGCTAATGTCGATAGGATTACCTTCTTTACGAAATAATTATAGCAAACGTTGAATGAAGGATTTTATCCGATGTTCAAGTTGCCAGTCGTATGGTTAGAGTATGACTATATTAGATCATGCACGCATCACCTACATACATCGTATAAGAAATCTAATCAGATGGAAAAGTGTATCGATTGTTATATGATCGGGAACAACATACAACAAGAGTGTGATGTTTGAAATGTGCTGTTCGTGTTAATGTTCTCTTTACAAAAAACGGGGCGGTGGGGTTGCCAAGTGGTTAAGGCGTTCGCTCGTCCCGCCGAAGACCAGGGTTCGATTCCCCACATGGACACAATGTGTGGAGTCCATTTCTGGTGTCCCCCGCCGTGATGTTGCTGGAATGTTGCTAAAATGCGACGTAAAACCAAACTCTCTAACTCACTCACTTTACAAAAACAAAGTACATGTCAAATCTCAAACGGTGTGCAAGATAGCCGTAGTCCGTCATGGCTGCGAAATGTTCATTTTATATTCTAACATACTCTTAGAATATCTATATGGATGAATTAGAATAATGAAGTTGCATTTCATGATGTCGCGAAAAATGCTTTTATAAATTCCTAAACTATTTAAACAATTTACAGCGGATAACATAATTATAAGACCGAATGTTTGTCTAATCTACCCACATTGAGATCGATATGCTTCGTGAGAGCTTTTTCATACGAACATGACCGATTCCCAATATCTATGCAATTTCAGAAAATGGATTTTTTTTATTATGTACACTGCGATACATTGCACACAAACAATAATGACTCTTGTGAAGCCCGTAATTCGTTATGCAGCTTATGCGATATATACTTTGTCATAATGCTTTTCTGTGAGTACACAGATTAATTTGTCGACAGAATAGGTGTTTACTGAATAATTGGATTAACACCTAACAGCTTAAAAACTTGTTTATTTGGGTTAATGTACATATTATGATCAAACATGAAAATTTATGAAAAAGGAAGGATCTATAGATATGCCCATTTTTCTTTAACTTGCCTTGATTCCATATAAATATACAAATCTTTGTATGAATGTAATAAATATATTAATAAATATTGTTATAAATATAAAGGTTATTCTATAGTTTCAGACCAATCTAAAACAACGTAATATTTAAGCTTTTCACAAAAATAATATTTTGACGTGTAAATTATTTGAAAAATATACATCTATCTAGATTGCTTTTTCTTGGCAGTTTTTGCCTTGTCAGATAACATATGATAATATATAAGGCAATACATTCCATTAACGAACAAATGCAATGTACAACTTAGCCGCACTGTTCAATGACAGTTAAATAAGTCACATATGCGTACCTGATTGACAAGGATGAAGCAAACTAAATTAAGTCATGAATTTGAATACCGTGTATGCTGATGTTAAAATAGTAAATATGAACATAAATGGCATTTATCGATGTGATGTCATTACTTAAGAAACAATGTTGAAACAGGCCATCTCTATCTTAGTAGGTTGTCATTCTTAATTGGTCGTGTTTTTTTTTTATCAAATTAGACAGTGCTAAAAATACATTCCTTGCTGTGAATAGAGATAACTATCCCGGGAAAGTATTAGCTGTGGAAACCACAACCCTGCTTTATCAATCGTGGCTTGAGGGTGACGTGGTTAAGCCCTCAAACGAAGACTTGATAATATTTATCATCAACATTCGCTTCATTCTGAGTTCCGTGTGAAGAAATAGCTTTTCATCAATGTAATTACTCGTTACGAATGTAGTATGTTCTATTTATAGTGTACAACCTGGAAAACACGCGTGTTTCCACGGCGTAGTCTATCAAAACAAACACTTCAATTACCATCATTTCAGGGGAAATAACTGCTTAGTAAAAAACTAAAATAGTGCATTATTGCACATGGCTCCATATCAGAGATGTTGCCAAATAGTGTCTGCAAATAGACAAAAGAATACTTGTGTTTAGCCCTCTTGCGTAAAACAGACATTCAATATGTACACACCGCCCGAGTCTTTTGGCATTTACGAAAGATAGTGTTTTGGCAAAACAGGTGGCGTAACGAATTCTAACAACAGTTAACATGACTAAAACACGAACGATAACACTAAACCCAGCTGTTTTGGGATAGTGATTGAGAAGAATCCATTAGAGTATGATAAAACACTATGATGAAAGAACACCGAAAAGGTATTACTGATTCCCTGACATATCAGAGACAATACAATAAACTTTACGTTATAGCCCATGGAGCACTTTGTCACTTTGACATACATGTATTTCTTTACATCTTAGAGTGACTATATTGACGAAAAGACTCATTTGAATGATTAAAGATTACTTCATCCCCTTTGACGCCATGTAGTTGTACGTATTTGGTTTACATTTTCAGACGGTGACCGATTGAAGAAATGAAACAGAACACAGGTAAATTAATACCTGAATGTATGTTGGAGTAATCAAATACAGAATAGTTCTACTGTAATTTTCACATCACCTCATGAAAAAAACCCCCACACACCCAAAAGGCCGAATTTTATCGACCAACAAACCATATTTCTGTGCGTGGAGTTAAAGCACAAAATAGCACTAAGGTTTTTGGTTTTGCTCGTGATAAATATGATAATATATCCACCCATCCACCCATGCAGAGGAAACAGAAAGGTCATTTTGTACAAGCATCGATTACTATCCTTTCGCGGTTTCTCATTTTTGTTATTATAACCAGATGACAAAGTATTCCCAACTCAATATTAAATTGAACAGTGGGCTATTTTCATATTTCAGATTATACCTGTCCTGCGTGTGAACATACACACAAATTTCAGTTACCATGCATGGCTAATCTATGTAAACAAATCAACATGCATATAGCAGGTGTGCAAGTGATAATTTTTTTATGGACTATTCCAGCCTATTCATGAAGACCTGTAGGTAATCATGTCTGGACCAGACATACAGGTGTTTGATGTCATGAGCAACGATGACGCCGTCGTCGAGGAATGATGACTATGCCAACAGACGTACGCTTCACCCGGTCCATTTAGAGAAGCATATACAAGTTGTACATGAAGTTATTTGAACCCGGAATTTCCAGATGAGCAGCTTATATATACATGTTCGGATAAACTTACTTGTACAAGTAATGAAGGGTGAGCGGGTGCTTTATTGATGAAAGACAATACGCTATTTGATTAATCGAAGACAATACCAGCGGTAAATTAACTGCTTAACTACAGAATACAGTATTTTTTAAGAATGTAGCTGGCAATATTTTTAAGGCCAACGAAGGCCACTGTATGTGGCCAAATATTGATGGATAATATCGGTGTCATCTTTTGCAGGGTAATATCGATGGGAAATTAATTCGGCCATTGTCAGGTGTAAATTAACCAAGGACAGTACCCGTGGTGTGTTAACGAAGAAATATATCGTGTTTAATTAAGGCAAATCTCGTTGGTAAATTATGCGTTACATTGTCGTTGATTAATTAATAAAGGACAGTTTCGGTGATAAATTAATGAAGAACAATATCAGTGGCAAGTTTATATCTACATGAAAGGCCAAACACCACGTGAAACCTATTCACGTACTTGTCGGTGGTCAGCTAATGAAGGACAATGGCGACTTTAAGTCAGGACATCATGCAACCTGTTCAAGGACTTAACAGAGACAGAAATCTGCTACTGATCCGAGATTGTGGTGAAAGATGGTAAATCTCTCAGTTATACCCTGTGCACACTATATACCAATTCAAGAAACGATCTCACCTCGAACGCTGCATTATGGTCAAGTATTCAACAGTGTTCGACCGTCACCCCATCCTTGTTTACTATTACCGATAGCTTCGTGCTAAGGTCGCCGTCATACTGCACCTCGCTTCAGGTGTACATACTATTTAAACACTTGGGATGGGCCCGTACAGACTAGGTAAGTAAATGATTTTAACCTAGAAAGCCATTTCGCAGGATCCTTGTGGGACCAGTGCCCGAACCACCTCAGCGATTACGTTGGGTTGTGACGGCGCTGGATGGAAGGTAACTGTACGTGGCCCCTGGTGATGGAACACGGAAATAGGTATTCTTTGACGACCGGAGATGAGCGAGCTCCCACCCGAGGGACTCATTAAGCTGTCTTACGTCATATGTTTAATATGTAATAGCGATGCGTCGGCACGGTGGTGAGACATTCAATACTTGTGAGTGAGTAATGGTGTTAATATGTACGAATGCCTGCACGGAACGCTCATGTTTAAACAAGGATCTAACGATTTCACTGTATACGGGGATTTCCACTACATCTATGAGCGAGGTTGTGTGATGATGATCTTATATCGCGGTTTCAGTGGTATTAAGTTTCCATTGGTTTTAAACAAGGAGGAAAGACAAGAACCCAAGATATAAAGGTTGATATCAGAAGAACGGGCGAGACACGCCAAGGTTCATAATCAGGTTGAATTTGGGAATTGATTCCAATCCAGCGGTGCTGATCTTTGAGAGCATTGCTACACTTCTGTTGATGTGCCTCAGACCAGTGCACTGCATCACGTCCACTTGATGAATATGTCGACAGCCGTTAGATTTCAGAGATATATAAAGCGGTGCCATTCATTTCACCTTTACGGGAAGGGACATCGAGATGACCTTGTCCACGGGCTATCATTCGTAAGGATTGTAATCAATTAAACCTAGTGTAGGATCTTCGTCGTCTTTCACGAAATCAATATCTGTGATAATAGTGTT